TCCGCCGCCGCTCCCCTGAGAACTTGTTAATAAGGCAAGGCCAGCGCGGCAGCGACCAATCAGCGCGCGAGGGGGCGGGCCCGGAGAGAACCATTGGGCCGCGCTCCTGTCCCGAGGCGCGCCCGGCCTGGGGGCGCTCTGGGCTGAAGAGAGCTGAAGGTACCTGGGGAGCCTTTCCGCCCGATTTAGCCTGGTGGGCATCTGCCTGGCTGAGTCCCCCTAGACTTGGATACTACCGAGTTCCAGAGGGACTTTCCTTCATTAGCTCTTCTCTTCTTCCCTAGTCGTCCTTCACTGCCCCTTACCCACTTCTTCCTTTCCCCTTCATAGCCTACTTTCTTTCGCTGTCGCTATTTCTTTCTGGCCCCCTTCCCTCTTCGGCCCCCTTTTTCTACCACGAAGGTTTTTACTTCAGTTCACTTACAAATTCTTCTCATATTTGTTTTGAATGATCATACTTATTTGTCAGAGTAGAAAAGGAATAATAATAATTTCTTTCTTAAAAAAAAAAACCCTAAATGTCTTGTGTATTTCAATCTTAAAAAGTTTACCTCGGGGTAAAAGTGGACCTTTGTTTCTAGAGGCTGAACAAGTTTTTCAAAGGAAGCCTGGGCCCTATTGGTTCTGTGGGTGCAAGAACATGTAACATAATCTGGGAAATGCGCTTGGTTTTCATACAAACATGTACCCCCTTCCCTTACTTTTCTCCAGAAAGTTACACCTCTACTAGAGAACTGCTGGCCAAAGGAGCCCTTGGAACCCTTGGGTGGAGAATTGGAAACAACAACAAAACACCGATCTGGCCTCAGCGTGACCTCAGACAATGAGTCCTCAAAAACCTAATACTTTTCTAACGCTGGGTCTACGTTGTTGAAGAGAGCAGAGGCCATGTGAAGAAGGGGCTGGAGGAAGGAAGCAGTTCCTGGCATCGTAACTTTGGTGCGAGGCTTAAAAACTTTTGTTTGCCTAATTTCGAAGGTTTATTTTTGCTGATATAAGAAGGAGGAAAGTTGTTGAGGGGCACAGAAGAGCTATGTAAACTGGGTTCGGACGGGGGCGGGAGGGGATTGCTTTCTTTTATGGCCTGTCTTATCCCAGGGCCCAGGCCCGCGGCTCCGGGGGAGTTGGAGGAGGTGATTGGCGGCTCACTGGGACTGGGCATTGATGACTGCGGGGCTCTAATCTCCAGGAAACACAAGGGGCTGCCGTGGCCATTTAGGGGTAATTATCCGAGCACGGAGGGATAGCGAATTCCCTGGCCTTTTAACTGGGCGCAATAAAAAGCTGTAGATTAGGGGCGACCAGATTAAGGAAAATGAATTACTTTATTACCCAGACGGCGTCCGGGGTCTGGAGGGAGGGGTCGGGCTGCGGACGCCTGAGAGAGCAGAGCCTTACGTCTGCCCACAGGGCCTGTAGAAATAGTAAGGCCTCGCGGCGGGTTCGGGAATACTCGCTTCTGTGAAATGTAGGGATTTCTTAGGCATTTGAGAGTGCGGAGTAGGCACTGCACAGGGCTTGAGACTCAAAACTCATTTAGGCCCAGCTGGACGCCTGCTATACTGGGTCCACTTAGGAGTGTTTTGTGTGTATGAAAAGTAGAAGCCTGGCAAATGAAAGCTTAGCAAGAGTGTGGGTCGAACATCTAGCTCGAAGGCTAGAGGGAAGGAGAACTTCTATAGCTGAAGAACTAATTAAGCTGTTGCTAGATCAACTCGTTCATCAACATTAGCCGATTTTCACTCTGCGCTCTTGTTAAAACAGAAGCGGAAATAAGTCCCCTAAATGTCCCCCCTTTTAGACCAACGTTTTTAATATGAGAAATATTTGTCAAAAGGTAGGGGTTTTCCGTTGTTCCACCGCGGTCCCCAACTCAAAATGATTCTCTCCCAGGGAGAGATCGGAGAATCAATTCAATGTAGCTAAGACAGTTAGTTACCCTGGAAAAAAATGCACATTGACCCAAACACCTTACTCGCAATTGTATAGACAACATCAGGAACTCGTGGACCAGCCCTGAGTCTTAATTCCTGCTTTAGGGTCAAGGGGGTCTTGAACCCCAAGAGTGGGGCCCCGGGGCATTGCGGGGCTCGGACAGAACTCTTGGCGTGAGCCGCAGTCTGAGTAAAGAGGCCTAGCCTCAGGCCAGGGAGGGGGGCGGCCTGAGAAGGGCTGCATCGCTAATTGCGGGGATAAACAATCTGTCACGATCCCTCAGCGCGCCTAATAGGCAGACGAGGATGTTGTTTTTAGGCGCCAGCGGCGGCCGGGGCAAGGGCTGCAGCCGGCGCAGGGGCCCTTGAAGT